AAAACGCTACGAATTAATTCCAACACCTAATATATATACACATATATGCATAACACACCACGCGCGCGCGCGTGTTTGTGTGTGTATAACTGCAAATATAATTTAAATTTAGTTACGTTTAAAATTTTTGTAAAATCTGATATTAGTCCATTTATAGACATAGATACTTGAAATTGACGCGATCTGCATAATTAGAAATAATTATTTCTAATTATTATCTGAATTTTATTAATCGGTAGCTTACATATTCTGTAATTCCAACAATTGGTTGCATCAAATTCTCTTATAAAATAAATATTGTATATTTTACCTTTTTCAAGATTATTTTTTTGTTAAATCTTCTTATAATGTAACCTGTAATCATTCCAATAATATATGGACCAATTCGAATCCATGGAGGGAAGTAGAGGACATCTAGAAGTCTGTACTGTTCGTCCAACCTGTAATAATAAAAAAAGTATTTATTTACTAAATTAGTTTCACAATTAATAAGATGCTCTGTAACTTACGTCGGAACATATTCATAAATGTATGAGATATAACCGCTTAAGATAACCGAGGCTATCAAAATTGTACATAGTATGACAACAGCCACATAAAAATATCTGAAATTTATAGCTTTTATTTATTCAGATTCATGTGTTGAAAGTATTTTTCCACGATCAATCAACGATCGTTTAACTTACACAGTTGATAGAATTAAAAGCGCCAGACCAATTATAAAGAATTGCATATCGCTGGATAGATACCAACTCCAAACCAAGCACTACAAAAAAATTTCTCTCAATATAACTCGGAATAACGAGTCTCTCTGGAGTGTGTGATATCAGAATGATATTATAATTAAAGCTGCTAATTCCAAAATTTACTATCGATACTAAAAATCTATAGTTTACGTAATGGACACTATAGATTTTCAGTCCTGGCAATAAATTTTGGAACATAACCTAAATTGGCGTTTGTACCATCTTTTTATAACCAAATAGATTATTTATGTACAAGATATTTCTCCACCAGTATTTTGCGCAAATTTCGTGTGGTCTCTCCTCAACGTAGAATGGCGAATTCTTGTCGTACCAAGCTGAGCTCAATTGCGCTACTCCTATCATCATTATGTGAGCCGGTGTCAATCTTAAAAGAAATATCTACACTTAGAAACTATAGAGAAAGCTATTATTATTTGGTTCATTGTTAAATTATATTTATAAATATATTTTCTGTTATTTGATACTGTCATGCTTATAGCATCTTTGTTTATGTTCACGTAAATTTAAGATAACATTAGAAATGTACCGAATATATCTCTTCATTATGATGACAAAATATTTGTTTATCTGTTCTTTAATCGGATTAATTTGTTCCTTGTCTATTTTATTCTTTAAATACGTGTAAGCCAATAAAAATCCGCTTAAAAAGAAATAAGTGTCAACCGATACGGATCCGTTGCTGATCATTTGAAAGGGGAGACTTTTGATCAATCTCAATATCTGTATTTTATTATCTACATAAATGAAACAACATTTATTATACATGGAAAATGACACATCAGGAGATGTAAATAATCTCAGTTCTGCAATTTTTGTGTCAGTACACTTACCTACATATTCTGTCGAGAACATTATGCTATGCATTATTATCATCCAAGCCATGGTCAAAAATCTTATACCGTGAATGACGGTTATTTCTTCGGTGCCCAATTTTGTGTTAAATATCATCTTCGTATTTGTATAAACGGAGAAACACATTAATACATTCCCGATTCTACTTTTCTCACGTGAAGACAAATCTGTCATATGCATCTCGACCGCGTTTTCTACATCTAAATCACAATTCGGAACGTGTATTCATTAAAAATTGCGAACGATGTTTGCCGACAAATACATGAAAACTATTAACAAGCAAATATTTATTATAGAAAAAAAGATATTGCACTATAGGAATAAATAATATTGTACGAGAGAAAAAATATCTTCTTTGTATTTCGGAATTTTATTAAAATAATTTCCAATTTAGTAAAACTGTTCAGTGTGTAAAACGAGAGCGTGATTTTTTTTTTTTAGTACGAGGAATATAATAAAAGCAATATTGCGAATACTCCGAAAAGTTATACAATACTTAAAAAGTTTTACAATTAGATATATACTTACTAACAGTTTTATTCGTTGCCTTTAAATATGTTTGATATATAAATATATCATATATTGTACCGCTTATCATCAAAGCAAAGGTAAGCACTAAACCAACACTGAAATGATAAAATTAATATTTGCAGCTATCTCTTCCATCGCTTTCTCAAACTCTTGGAAGAGACATAAAAATTTAACGTATATTATTATTTTATTGGTAAAATTAATTTTTTTTGTCTTTATGTTTTTCGACATACCATATGAAAGGTATTGCACCATTTAACAGCCATTGGTGATTATCCTTTAAGTTTTTTATCTGGATCAGATTGAAGTCCACGAAATAGAGATCATTGATTAAAAGAATTCTATCTCGAAATATTCCTTCTAGAATGAAACTTATATTATTCATGGAACAAGATGCGGGCAAACAGAGACCGAGCGTAATCAGCTCCTAAAATATATATGAAATTTTTGGTATACAATGTATATAAAAAGTACCGAAACTCCTGAAGAATATAAGTTTTATAAAAAAAATAATTCAGGTAAAAGTTATAAAATTTATTTATAGAAAGATTTATTTATACTAAAAATAAAAATAAAAGTAACAACTTTCAAAAGCTACGGCCTTGAAAAAGGTCATGTTAAAGTCACGTTAAGGTCATGAACAACATTTAAAAGATGCTTCGGTGGGCTAATGGCTTAGGACACTCGTATGGAATATAACAGGGTTCAAGTCTGGGCCAAGGTAATATTTTTCACAATAAATTTATTAATATTTTCAACATATTAACTTCTTTATATTATGATGCTTAATAGTAACATCAAATTATTAAATTGCTTATCAATTTAATTCGCGATTACTAAAGTAGTTTTAATTGCGTTTATAGTCCGGAAAAACAATTCGGCGCGCAGTTTTAAAAAAAGACTACAATGTAGTACATATATAGTGTACATTAGTTATTCAAGATTGAATTATTTAAAGCAATAAAGATCCAGGTTCGTAATAGGCATTTTTTTAGTATTGATGACATTTAAAAGGTTTTACATCAGTTAGCCATATAATTAATATTTATTTATTTTTGTATATGGATTACGTAACATAGAACATATTGAATGCGTATTTGCATTATTGGATATCAAATATATAATATTTAATATGTAAATTGTTTCATAGTCGTTAATTTTTTGTTTCTTAATTGTGATTTATGACTAATGGCTTATTGGCCAGTTATGGATTTATATTGACCATTAAAAGGCTCATAACTTTTTTCTCTTTTTACGATTTATGTCACATGACTTAAAAATTAAATTTAACGTGTTTAAATCCGTTTGCAATAAATATTAGTGACAACATTATTTTAATTTATTCACATTGGTTTTAAAGTGCACTGAGAAAAAATGTACTAAGTTTTAATAAATGTCTGTTTGAACAGTACTAATTATTTAATAAATAATAAACGTATATTTTTTTAAAACAAGAATCATTAATTTGATTTATCATTTTTCTATTAGTATATTTAAGTATTTATTTAAGTATTTATTTATCATAAATAAAAGTTAAGTATTATTCAAATAATTAATTAATGAAATTTAATACATTTTTTCTTATATAAATAAGATTTATTAGATTTATTTACATCGTAATATAGAAAGATGCGTGAAATGTTCGATTTAGGATTGCCTGACATATAATGTAAAAAAATTGGACTTGAAATCAAAATTTAAAATCTATAATAAGAAACCGTTGATTAAAAATGTGATATACTCTAGACAGTCTAGATAATCGCAAGAAGAAAGAACTTACTTCATCTAACATATTGATGTGATACTGAAGAGTACTGTTGTGTCTGATGTAAGCAACGAAATAATTCAGTTGAAAAGGTGGAAACTCATTCTGCGGATCGCGATATCGCGTGTTATTTAACATATATTGTCTTGCGAACTCGAAGGGAGTCTTGTTCATTATATCGAGGCATTGATTACGACTGCCCAGCCAAAAATTATTTCCATAAAGGAAACCTGATTTGAGTTCGCCACTAGAATCCAATGCTGGAAGACAAAAATACACAATTGTTATTATAATTATGTAACAACGTTCTAGTAAATAGTGTTTCTTATTCAATGCTACTTAATCAGTAGGACTTTTATTAATTGCTAAAAGCAAGATCACTATTACAAAAGACAAGCCTTATAGCGTATTCGGCCGGGTGTGCACCAACCTGGGTTGGATTAATGATATTGTTATGCAAAGAAATTAATTATATTTATATGTGATAATTATATGTTATGTTTTTTATGTATTGTATTATTCATCCTCATTATCCACAGATTCGTTATTCCAAATGTAGGAAGTCTATTTGTACATTATAAATATTTATAAATATGTATAATTATGTAAAGTGATGCATAATTATGTATGAGCAATCATTTAAAATTTTTTCAAACTTGTTTTTTTTTAAACAAACAATGCGAAAATTGTTAATTTAATTATTTTTTGTTTTCACATTACTATTATTATTTCTATTTCATTAAAAAGTAATTTTATAGAAGAAAGAAGAATGTATGAATATATATATGGACATAATTCGTATATGATTATATATGTTTATAAATATTTTTCTTTATATGTATTTATACATATTCATAACAAACTTTTTAGTGGGTTATACGAATATTCAAAACATTTAATAGACATCCATATTTAGATTTTACTTTTACAATGTTTTTCTATTAAAATACACATATATAACAACATATGCAAACAACATATGCAATGCATTAGTTTGCACAATATGCTATATCACGCTTGGCTATCTGGACTCTTACTGCAATACTGGGCCAATTCACATTTGATGAAAGCGGAGTAAATTAATAAGATACTGTCAGAGGATATATTGGATGATAGCATATTCCAATAAACACTTCTTATCATACAGTAATTACTATTGCAACAAGCTCTTCAAAAACAAAAGATATCCAAAATCAATACATAACACATTTATAATAGGTTTCGAAATTAAATATGTTTTGGATATTCTATAGACGTACAAAGTTGTAGACGTACAAATGTACATCCTATGAACATCCAAAATGTCCAGAAAGTCCAGTGAATGTACAATGGACGTTCATGTGTTATTTGG